CCTCCCTCCCCTCCCTCTCCTCCCTCTCCTCCCTCTCCTTCCTCTCCTCCCTCTCCTTCCTCTCCTTCCTCTCCTCCCTCCCTCCTTCTCCTCCCTCCCCTCCCTCTCCTCCCTCCCCTCCCTCTCCTCCCTCCCCTCCCTCTCCTCCCTCTCCTCCCTCTCCTCCCTCCCTCCCTCTCCTCCCTCTCCTCCCTCTCCTTCCTCTCCTCCCTCTCCTCCCTCTCCTCCCTCTCCTCCCTCTCCTCCCTCTCCTCCCTCTCCTCCCTCTCCTCCCTCTCCTCCCTCTCCTCCCTCTCCTCCCTCTCCTCCCTCTCCTCCCTCCCTCCCTCTCCTCCCTCCCTCCCTCTCCTCCCTCCCTCCCTCCCCTCCCTCTCCTCCCTCCCCTCCCTCTCCTCCCTCTCCTCCATCTCCTCCGTCTCCTCCGTCTCCTCCCTCTCCTCCCTCTCCTTCCTCTCCTTCCTCTCCTCCCTCTCCTCCCTCTCCTTCCTCTCCTCCCTCCCCTCCTTCTCCTCCCTCTCCTTCCTCTCCTCCCTCTCCTCCCTCTCCTTCCTCTCCTCCCTCCCCTCCTTCTCCTCCCTCTCCTTCCTCTCCTCCCTCCCCTCCCTCTCCTCCCTCTCCTCCCTCCCCTCCCTCCCCTCCCTCTCCTCCCTCTCCTTCCTCTCCTCCCTCTCCTTCCTCTCCTCCCTCTCCTTCCTCTCCTCCCTCTCCTCCCTCTCCTTCCTCTCCTCCCTCCCCTCCTTCTCCTCCCTCCCCTCCCTCTCCTCCCTCTCCTCCCTCCCCTCCCTCTCCTCCCTCCCCTCCCTCTCCTCCCTCTCCTCCATCTCCTCCGTCTCCTCCCTCTCCTCCCTCTCCTCCCTCCCCTCCCTCTCCTCCCTCTCCTCACTCCCCTCCCTCTCCTCCCTCTCCTCCATCTCCTCCGTCTCCTCCCTCTCCTCCCTCTCCTCTCTCCCCTCCCTCTCCTCCCTCTCCTCTCTCTCCTCTCTCCCCTCACTCTCCTCCCTCTCCTCTCTCCCCTCCCTCTCCTCTTCTCCCTCTCCTCCCTCTCCTCTCTCCCCTCACTCTCCTCACTCTCCTCCCTCTCCTCCCTCTCCCCCCTCTCCTCCCTCTCCTCCCTCTCCTCCCTCTCCTCACTCTCCTCCCTCTCCTTCCTCTCCTCTCTCTCCTCCCTCTCCTCCCTCTCCTGCCTCTCCTTCCTCTCCTCTCTCTCCTCCCTCTCCTCCCTCTCCTTCCTCTCCTCACTCTCCTCCCTCTCCTCACTCTCCTCCCTCTCCTTCCTCTCCTCCCTCTCCTCCCTCTCCTTCCTCTCCTCACTCTCCTCCCTCTCCTCCCTCTCCTCCCTCCCCTCCCTCTCCTTCCTCTCCTCTCTCTCCTCCCTCTCCTCCCTCTCCTGCCTCTCCTTCCTCTCCTCTCTCTCCTCCCTCTCCTCCCTCTCCTTCCTCTCCTCACTCTCCTCTCTCTCCTCCCTCTCCTCCCTCTCCTCCCTCCCCTCCCTCTCCTCCCTGCCCTCCCTCTCCTCCCTCCCCTCCCTCTCCTCCCTCTCCTCCCTCTCCTCATTCTCCTCCCTCTCCTCCCTCTCCTCCCTCTTCTCCGTCTCTTCCCTCTCCTTCCTCTCCTCCCTCTCTTCCCTCTCTTCCCTCTCCTCCTCTCCTCCCTCCCCTCCTTCTCCTCCCTCTCCTCCCTCTCCTTCCATTCCCCCCTACTGCGCCCTCCCCCTTCCTTCCCCCCATCCCTACTCCTCCACCCCTTCCCCTCCCCTCTCCCCTTCACTACCCCCCCTCCACCATCTTCCCCTTACCCCCCACCTCTCTCCTTACACCCCCACCTTTCCCCCCATTCCAACCTCGATCATCCCCTCCTCCACCCCCCCCCCCCTCTTTCCCCTATCTTCATCTTCCCTTTTCCTCACCTGTTTCCACCTCCACCCCTACCCCTCCCCCCCACCCCCTCTCCAACCATGAGCATCCCCTCCCCCCCCCCCTTTCCCAGGCTCCCTACACTCCACACCCCTCTCCTCTTCCCCACCCTTTCCCCTCCCCTGCTTCTACCCCCCACCCCCACCCCCCAGCCTCCTGTCAAGCCACGACCGTCGTGACGAGTTCGTTTGTGCTAATTGGCTGCGTCGGGCGTTGTAGTCGGCGGCTGGAGGGTGTCTGTCTGTCTGGCTGGCTGGCTGAATGTGCGATGATTTTATTACTATTATTTATTTACATTTATTCTTGGTCTGTTTCGTCATTGTTGTTTTGGTTGCTGTCATTTTTTCCACCATCATCATTATCATCATTGTTGTTATCGTCGTTATCGTTATTAGTATGATTATCGTCGTTATCGCCAGTAGCATTAGTGTCATCATATCAATCATCATCATCTTCAATGCAATACAATACAATCTTCATCACTATCTTCATTATTCTCATATTAATCATCATTATCATTATCAGCAATATCATCTTCATCACTATTATCTTCACTATCATCATTATCTTCAATAAAATCTTCATCACTATCATCTTTATTCTTATAGCCATCAGTATCATCATTATCATCAACATACCATTATCATTATATCACCATATCATGATATTAATCATCATTATATCATCATTATTATCATATTAATCATCACCATCATCTTCAACATATTCATTATTAACGCCGTTCTTGTCACTGCTATTGTTATTGTTATTACCACGACTGTTGCCATAATCATAATTATTGTCATTATCACTGTCACTGCAAGTAGTAACATAAATGTCAATGTTTAGACAGTTGTCATTGCTAGTTGTTATTATTAATATTTCAATTTTCATTAATATTATATTATTATCATTACCATCACTATCCTAAAAAGAATTATTTTCAAATTATGATTAACTTCACTGTCATTACCTTGTTAATCATTATCATCAGATATTAACTTTTTCGCATTCTTCATATTATTCCATTTTGATCCATTTTATCTCCTTATTTTTATTCATTTTTTATGTTCTATTTCGTATATCTGTTTCTGACATTGGATAGCTGTTTCTTTTTTTCTGTTTCTCTTTTTCGTTCATATCATTTCGTTCATTTTCTTTTTTCTTTCCTTCTCTGTTTCCATCGTTCTATCAGTTTTTATTCCTTTTTTTGTTCTACTTAATTCCTCTTTTTTATTATATTTCTTATGCTTCTTTGAATTTATTTGCTTGTTTCCTATATTTTTCTTCTCCTTCTTGCATTTCATTTTTTTTTTTTTTTTTTTACTCTTTGTCCTATTTTTCGTCCCCTTCTTCTTACATTTAATTTCCCTTTTTCACTCTTTTTTATTGTTTTACTCTTTGTCTTTTTTTTTCCCAAGGCAAGAAGTCGTCAGTTTCCTGTTTGTCTCACTTTAAGGAATTCATGTAAAAAAACAAAAACAAAAAACAAAACAAAAACAAAAAAAAGTGTCTTATTTGTGTCACTTATTTCTGCTATTTTTCCTCTTTTATTTCTATTTTTTTCCTCTTCTGTTTCTGGCTTCGTCTTCTTGTTACTCCTTTTCATCTCTATTTATTTCTTTTCGTTTTCTCTCTTTCTTTCTTTCTTTTCGGTGTTTCGTTTCGACTCTCTTGTTTTTTTTTCTGTTTTCCTTCATTTATTTTTCATTTACGAAATTTTGTTCTTTGTTTGTTTGTTGCTTCTTCTTTACAGTTTATTATCTTCTCCTTCCTTTTCTTCTTATTTTTTTGGAAGACACGTCATACCTCTGATTCTCCTTTGTATTTTTCTTTTCTTTTCTGTCTTTCTTCCTTTGGTTTTGTTCTTTTTCCCTTGTTATTCTATTTTCTCCATTTCCTCCTCATTTTCCTGGACAAAAAAACAACGCGTGTGCCTCGTGAGATTGGCTTCGTGATTGATTAAGTTTCGTGATGTTTGTTTCCTTTTTATTTTATTTTTTTTATTATTTATGACTGTTATTCTTTTTATTCTCTCTTTTTTGTCATTGACTTTTCTTGCTTTTGTTTATTTTTTCTTTGTTTTTTTCTCTCTTTTTTTACTTTCTATTTTTTTCGTTTTTATTTCTTTGTTTTGATTTTCTTTTTAGTCCCTTCCTCTTCTTCTTCTTCTTTTTCTTCTCATTTTCCTTAATTCTTTAATGTTTTTGTATTTTTATTTTCTATTTTGATTATTTCCTTAGAAAATGTTCGGCTTTTCTTCTTAAAAAAAAAATAAAAAATAAATTAAAAAAATCAAATATGGATAAATAAAAGTTTGTTTACAATGATAACTTACCTTTTTATTCTAATTCTTTTATTTACTGAATCGTCCTCTTTAGCTGTTTCACTTACATTTTCTATGCACATTTTTTTCTTCGTAATCTTATTTCACTCTTTATCTCATTTTCGTCAAAATCAGTTCCATTATCCTCGTAATTAATCCCATTTCCCTCTTCATTAATTTCACCTTAATCTTCATTAATCTCATCTATCTATCTGTCTATCTATTTTTTCCCCTTCTTTCTCTATTTTTTTCTACTCTCTCTTTCTCTTTCTCTCTCTCTCTCTCTCTCTCTCTTTCTCTCCTTCTCTCTCTCTCTTTCTCTCCTTCTCTCTCTCTCTCTCTCTCTCTCTCTCTTTATCTCTCTCTGTCTCTGTCTGTCTCTCTCTCTCTCTCTCTCTCTCTCTCTCTCTCTCTCTCTCTCTCTCTCTCTCTCTCTCTCTCTCTCTCTCTCTCTCTTTCTCTCTCTCTCTCTCTGTCTCTCTGTCTGTCTGACTCTCTCTCTCTCTCTCTCTCTCTCTCTCTCTCTCTCTCTCTCTCTCTCTCTCTCTCTCTCTCTCTCTCTCTCTCTCTCTCTCTCTCTCTCTTCTCTCTCTCTCTCTCCTATCTATACTATTATCTATCTATCTATCTATCTATCTATCTATCTATCTATCTATCTATCTATCTATCTATCTATCTATATATATTTCTCCCTCCCTACACCTCTACACCCCCCTCCATCCTCCCCACGCCTCTCACCCCCTCCCCCTCCTCCCCCCCAGACCCCGCCGGCGTGCCTGTCATCAGCGGGTACCGAACGGGCGAGATCCTGAGGGCAGGCGAGCGACGCACCCTCAGCTGCCGGTCGCGAGGAGGCAACCCGCGCCCCTCGCTCACGTGGTTCCGCAATGGGCGTGTGATGGACGATGCCTCCGCCCGTGACGCCGCCGGGACGATCAACACGCTGGAGTTGGCGGTGACGGCGAAGGAGGACGGCGCCGTGTACGAGTGTCGCGTCAGGAATGATGTCCTAGAGAAACCCTTAGCGGCGAATGTGACGCTCACTGTGTATTGTGAGTTGGGTTTTTTTCTTCGTTGGTGTTTGTTGTTTGTTGTGTTTTTTTTTGCTTGTGTTTGTTTTGGTTGTTTGTTTGTGTGTTTGTCTGTGTGTCTGTTTGTCTGTCTATTTCTATTTTTGTTTGTGTATTTGTTTCTCTGTTTCTTTGTTTATGTGCTTGCTTGTCTGTGTCTCTGCTTCTTTGTTTATGGTGTTTGCATAATGTTTATATCTGTTTCTCTCTTTCTGTGCTTGTGTGCGTGCTTGCTTTCTTGTTTTCCTTGTTTATATCAGGGTTCATTTTGCGTGAACTAATATCCCTTTTTGTGAGCTGGTGAACTCTGGCGTGAAATGTGTTTTTGCTTTGACGTCGGACGCGGTGTGCGGATGTGATCATACTGTTTGATGTGTATATCTCTAATTCTTTATTATTGTTATTATTATTGTTGTTGTTATTGTTATTATCATTTTTGCTGTTATTATTATTATTATTATCATTATTATTATTGTTGTTATTATTATTATTATCATTATTATTATTATTATTATTATTATTATTATTATCATTATTATCATTATTATTATTATTATTATCATTAACATTATTATCATTACTATCATTATTATTGTTGTTGTTGTTGTTTGCTGTTGTTATTATTATTATGATTATCATTTTTATCATTATTATTATGATGATTATTATCATCATTACTGTTATTTTTATCATCATCATTATCATTAATGTTATTATCACTGATATTATTATCATTATTATCATTATTATTATTATTATTATTATTATTATTATTACCATTGTTATTATTAATATTATCATAACTCTTAATATTGTTGTCATTGTTGGTATCCTTATTTCTTTGACCTGCATTACTATTATTACTTTTTATATTATTATTACTTTATTGTTGTTACTATTATCATTATTAGTGTTAGTATTATCGAGTATTAGTAAAACTGTTACCATTATTATTGTCATTGTTATTGTTCTTAGCAGCAGAAGAAGAAGAATAGAAATAGTATTAGCAATATTTTCACTGTCATCATCAATATGTTTATTGTACGCGTGTGTAGTGGAGAGAGAGAGAGAGAGAGAGGGGGGGAGAGAGAGAGAGAGAAGAGAGAGAGAAAAAAAAAGAAGAGAAGAGACAGACAAACAGACAAAAATGTATGTAGACAGATAGAGAGAGAGACAGACAGACAGACAGACAGAGAGAGAGAGTGGTTACATGAGTACAGTACCCATCATATTTCTGTCTGAGTTAATAAGAATTCGCGCTCTTCCCCAACTAATACATTCTGTCAATATGTGAAGTAAGCTTGTCTTCATTGTCATGTTTCCCCCAAAGCAGAAAATTTAATGTAGAGAAACGGATTTGAGTTGTCTATCTAATTAACAAATGATAATAATGCCACCAATATATCAGCTGTCAATCACTCACATATCATACCAGTTCCATCACATTAGCTATATAAATTTCATCAAAGAGCTGGTAAACGATCACCATATTTATTTTATCCACGAAAAATTTACTTGTTTTCATTCCTTGTTTTCCTATCCATTATGAATAATATGTATGTTTATATATAAAGATTGATAGATTGATTGGTTGAGAGAGAGAGAGAGAAAGAGAGAGAGAGAGAGAGAGAGAGAGAGAGAGAGAGAGAGAGAGAGAGAGAGAGAGAGAGAGAGAGAGAGAGAGAGAGAGAGAGAGAGAGAGGGAGAGAGAGGGAGAGAGAGAGAGAGAGAGAGAGAGAGAGAGAGAGAGAGAGAGAGAGAGAGAGAGAGAAAGAGAGAGAGAGAGAGAAATTCATATGACTATATATGTATACGTGCCTGTGTATAATAACTCAGATATATTGTATGTTAGCTTAATTCGTTATGCATAAATCTATTTACCTCGTCAACGAATTGAAGAAACAACTCTTGTCAAAACATGATGAATAATCTACCTTGTTCATCTTACCTAATTAATTCCACTTACAATGTCCTTCTGATCTTTTGTCGTTTGTTTCTTCATCATTTCTTTGTTCCTTAAGTCCAAGGATTTATTCATTATTCATTTACAATTCATTTTTGACATTTAATCGAACATCTGATTACTCTTCATTCATAATGCATTCTCCTCAGCAGGTATCAATAACATCTAAAAAAAAAAAACATCTTCTCAACATTAACTTCTTCATCCATCTAAGAAATATCACTTATAACATTCATTCAACATTCGCAGATAATAAATAACATACAACACCCATTCACATCACCTAGCTTCTCATTCAGCACTAACCAACGTTCATTCAGAAAAAAAAATCTCACTCATTCCTTCACATCCAGCTGACACGCATATTCCATTCCTTTCTTCAGATCCCTCATCGTACGTCAGCTTAGCCGGTCCAGCGCACGTCAAGGTAGGGGAGCCTATTTCCCTTACCTGTGAGACGGCTGAGTCTAACCCTCCCTCGTCCCTTACCTGGGTTGTACAAGGTAAGGGTGTGTGTGTGTGTGTGTGTGTGTGTGTGTGTGTGTGTGTGTGTGTGTGGGTGGGTGGGTGGCTTTATGTGTGGGTGTGTGTGTGTCTTTCTTTTATTTATTATTATATTTATTGGGGATAGTTTGTTTGTTTGTTTTTTTGTCTTGTTTATTGTTTTCCCTTCTTTTCTTCTCCTTTTTCCTACCTTCTTTCTAGTTTCACTCTCATTTCTATATTTATCTTCCCAATGTTTTTTCTCTCATTTTTTTTCCTCTGTCTCTATCTCGCCAACATCTAATTGGATTAATTCTAACCAGTTAATTCTCTGTTCTATCTTTCTCGTTATTTCTCCCTCTTTTGTCTTTTTTATGATTATCATCCAGCTATTGTTAACTCTTACACTTTCCATTTCCTTCTCTTTCTTTGACTCCTATCTCTCTTCCTCTCTCTCTCTCTTTCTCTATCTATCTATCTATCTATCTATCTATCTATTTATCTATCTATTTGTCTGTCTATCTGTCTATCTATCTATCTATCTATCTATCTATCTATCTATCTATCCACCAATCATCTATCTATCTGTTTATCTGTCTCCTACCTATTATCTATATATCTATTTATCTATATATATGTTTATTATCTCTCTATCTATGAATATCTCTATCTGGCTATATGCCTGTCAATCTATCTTTCTGTTTAACTATCTATCAATCAATATCTATCTATCTATCTATCTATCTATTTTTCTATCTATCTATCTAGCTATCTATCTATCAAGTAATCCCTCCTCGAATTACTCTCCCCCCCCCTCCTTTTGTTTTCTTCGCGTTAATTCAGAAATTCCAACCAAAATAATAATATTGTTCATAAAGCCTAAAGCTAAACTGAAATTAATTCCGCATGCTTCTAAATCCGGATTGCTTTTTTATGTTACCACCAATTTTATCATCAAATTTACAATAGATGTAAATACCGTGCTTAATGTAGACAGCTGGAAAGAGTAACAATTATAAATGCATTAGAATTAGAATTAGAATTAGAACATTAGAATTCCTCTTGCATCCTGTTTTACAAAACCATATTGTCATTTTGAAAGAATAGAGGTATTCTATTTTGTTCCATGTTTTGTTTTTTTTTACGGTTTTAAACTTTTTATTTATTAGCTTAACTGACTCAAAATACCATTGTATTCTTAGGGATAGTTTCAAAGTCGTATAACACTTTCCCCTTTCTCTTCTACAATATCCTCTTTCTGTGGTTTCTCTGCTTTATTAATCCAGATCCTACAGAGGATATGAACAATACAATACATATGGTTTAAAACTTATCTGAACTCTTGCATTCTATTTTACATGGATTGTTATTCCGAAAATGTGGACAAAGGTTCTTCGTTTTCTTTTACGCTTCAAACCTCATGTCTCTCTGATACAACATGAATTAGCATCGTATTGCATTATACTCTTGTATTTTATCATCTTGCGTTCTGTTAAACTGTTCCCTCCTCTGGAAAATGCAAGCAGTTTAATGCATGCGAGTTAGAACACGGCTTGAGCTTCTCCACTGTACGTATTCTGTTATGCAAGCTCACTGTTATTCCAGAGGATATCAGTAAAGATATTTCAGTTTCTTCCATTTTTATCACTTTTCGTTCCTTCTTTCTTTCTTTCTTTTTCTTCATTTCTTTCTTTTTCTTCCCTTCTTTCTCTCTTTTTTCTTGTTCTTAACTATCCTCCGTTTCCCTTTTTCTCCTCTTTCCTTACATTTCTCATTACTTTTATCATCTTTATTTACGTCCATCTCTTTCGTCTTTCTGGAAGGTCTTGTTGCTTTAGGGAAACTACCGAAAACGAAAACGATTTATTACATGCAAGACAGAACACGGTTTGAACATCCCCTCGTATTCTATTACAGAAGCTCAAAAATATATTAATAAAGATATTTCCATTTTACTGCTCTCAATCTTTCCTCTACCCTTTCGTTTTAGTTCCTTTTCCTTATCTTCTTATCTTTTATCCCTTCCTTTCTTCCTCCTTCTTTCCGTTTCAGCATTTTAATTTCCCTCCTTTCTTCCATTTCCCATTAAATCATCTACCCACAACACAGCACAGTATATGTATAATCTTTCGGGTCATGTTATATTTTATTCCATTTTTTTTTTTTTTTTTTTTTTTTTTTTTTGTACGAGAGAGAAATGCAAGTTCGGTTGAAAAAATCCTTGTATTTCTCTTTCGTTTCTCTTTCGTGTTTCGTCTTCCTTAATCTCTTCATTTCTTTCTTCCTCTCTTTCTTTCTTTCTCTCCTGCTTTCTTTCTCTTTTTTTCTCTTTTCTTTCTCCCATTCTCTCTCTGTCTTTCTTTCATTCTCTCTCTATGTCTTGTTTCCATTCTCTTTCTCTTTTTTTTTCTTCTTCCTTTCTCTTTCTCCTTCTTTCTTCCATTTTCTCTCAATGTTCTGCTTCCGTTATTTCTATATTTTCTTTCTCTCATTCTCTCTCTCAATGTCTTGCTTCCATTCTCTTTCTCTTTTCTTTTTTTCATTCTCTCTTTCTTGCTTCCATTCTCTCTATATTAAATTTCTTCCATTCTCTCTCTTTATATCTTGCTCCCACTCTCTTTCTCTTTTCCTTTTTCCATTCTCTCTTTCTCGCTTCCATCCTCTCCCCCTTTCTTTCTTTCCTCCGTTCTCTCCCTTTCTTTCTTGCCTCCATTCTCTCTCCCTTTCTTTTTTGCCTCCATTCTCTCTCCCTTTCTTTCTTTCCTCCATTCTCTCTCTCTCTTTCTTTATTTCCTCAATTCTCTCTCTCTCTCTTTCTTTCCTCCATTATCTCTCCCTTTCTTTCTTGCCTCCATTCTCTCTCTTTTTCTTTCTTTCCTACATTCTCTCTCCCTTTCCTCCACTCTCTCTCTCTTTCTTTCTTTCCTCCATTCTCTCTCCCTTTCTTTCTTTCCTCCATTCTCTCTCTCTTTCTTTCTTTCCTCCATTCTCTCTCCCTTTCTTTCTTTCCTCCATTCTCTCTCTCTTTCTTTCTTGCCTCCATTCTCTCTCTCTCTTTCTTTCCTCCATTCTCTCTCCCTTTCTTTCTTTCCTCCATTCTCTCTCCCTTTCTTTCTTTCCTCCATTCTCTCTCCCTTTCTTTCTTGCCTCCATTCTCTCTCTTTCTTTCTTGCCTCCATTCTCTCTCCTTCTTTCTTTCCTCCATTCTCTCTCCCTTTCTTTCTTTCCTCCATTCTCTCTCTCTCTTCTTTCTTTCCTCCATTCTCTCTCTCTCTCTCTTTATTTCCTCCATTCTCTCTCCCTTTCTTTCTTGCCTCCATTCTCTCTCTCTTTCTTTATTGCCTCCATTCTCTCTCCCTTTCTTTCTTGCCTCCATTCTCTCTCTCTTTCTTTCTTTCCTCCATTCTCTCTCCCTTTCTTTCTTTCCTCCATTCTCTCTCTCTTTCTTTCTTTCCTCCATTCTCTCTCTCTCTCTCTTTATTTCCTCCATTCTCTCTCCCTTTCTTTCTTTCCTCCATTCTCTCTCCCTTTCTTTCTTTCCTCCATTCTCTCTCTCTTTCTTTCTTTCCTCCATTCTCTCTCTCTTTCTTTCTTTCCTCCATTCTCTCTCCCTTTCTTTCTTTCCTCCATTCTCTCTCTCTTTCTTTCTTTCCTCCATTCTCTCTCCCTTTCTTTCTTTCCTCCATTCTCTCTCCCTTTCTTTCTTGCCTCCATTCTCTTTCCCTTTCTTTTTTGCCTCCATTCTCTCTCCCTTTCTTTCTTTCCTCCATTCTCTCTCTCTTTCTTTCTTTCCTCCATTCTCTCTCTCTTTCTTTCTTTCCTCCATTCTCTCTCCCTTTCTTTCTTGCCTCCATTCTCTCTCTCTTTCTTTCTTTCCTCCATTCTCTCTCTCTTTCTTTCTTGCCTCCATTCTCTCTCTCTTTCTTTCTTTCCTCCATTCTCTCTCTCTTTCTTTCTTTCCTCCATTCTCTCTCCCTTTCTTTCTTGCCTCCATTCTCTCTCTCTTTCTTTATTTCCTCCATTCTCTCTCCCTTTCTTTCTTTCCTCCATTCTCTCTCCCTTTCTTTCTTTCCTCCATTCTCTCTCTCTTTTCTTTATTTCCTCCATTCTTCTCTCCCTTCTTTCTTTCCTCCATTCTCTCTCCCTTTCTTTCTTTCCTCCATTCTCTCTCTCCTTTCTTTCTTTCCTCCATTTCTCTCTCCTTTCTTTCTTGCCTCCATTCTCTCTCTCTTTCTTTCTTTCCTCCATTCTCTCTCTCTTTCTTTCTTTCCTCCATTCTCTCTCCCTTTCTTTCTTGCCTCCATTCTCTCTCCTTTATTTCTTGCCTCCATTCTCTCTCTCTTTCTTTCTTTCCTCCATTCTCTCTCTCTTTCTTTCTTTCCTCCATTCTCTCTCTCTTTCTTTCTTTCCTCCATTCTCTCTCCCTTTCTTTCTTGCCTCCATTCTCTCTCTCTCTTTCTTTATTTCCTCCATTCTCTCTCTCTCTCTTTCTTTCCTCCTGTTAATCCAGCCAAAGTCGCCTTCGAAACCCACAGCAGAAAACACATGTCCCGGCCAATATTTTTTTCCCCCGCGTCCCAATCCTCGCGTCTGACTTCCTCTTCGTCTATTTTTTTTTTTTTTTCAGGCGAGGTCGTGCAAGGGGTCAAGGAGAGAGTGAGTCGAGTCAGCTCAGGCGGCTGGGTGACCTCGTCTGAGCTGACCAAATACGTGGTTAGGTCAAGAAGGATTTCCGAAGTGGTGGTGGAGTGTCGAGCTCTCAATCCCGCCATCGATCGTGTTGTGAAGAAGACGAGTATCATCGACATAACGCGTGAGTTCGAAACTGTCTCGAAAGCCTTTTGATTGCTGTCCATCTGAGTTTGTTTGTTTGTTTGTTTTTAAGTCGCTGTAAGTTTATTATTAATTATTATTGATGTTGTCATTATTATTATCATTATCATCAACATCTTCATCAGCATCATTGCCATAATTGTATTTTTATTATTATTATTATTATTGTGGTTGCTGTTGTATTGTTGTTGTTGTTGTTAGTGCTATTATTATTATTATTGTTATTATTATTATTATTATTATTATCATCATCATCATCATCATCATCATCATCATCATCATCATCATCATCATCATCATCATCATCATCATCATCATCATTATTATCATCATTATCAACATCACCATCAACATCACCATCATCATTATCATCAAAATCAATTCCTACTTTTTTATTTATAATATTATAATGTTTCTGTTATCATTATCACCGCTACCATTATCATCAAATGATTAGTATTTTCATTATAATTGTTATTATCAATCCTACCATATCACTTTTGTGATTATCCTTATCAATAATAACAGTATCATTGTTATCATTATTTATTTTGTTTAACGCTTTTTTTACGCGATGTGTTCTTAATACTTAAAGATTCCAAGACATTAATAACAGACTGAGAAGCTTAATTATGATTATGGAATAAGTATGAAGCATTTAGGTATCAAACGATAGTAACAAATTTTAGTAGTATGTAGGAAACAAATAAATGTATTCTAAGTTTAAATTGTGCTGCAGTTTAGCTATTTGGAAAGGGTTATCTATCTCTGGATTAGTTTTATTATAACATTTAAATACAATGTGTGCACGAAAGGAAATGTAAAATTGTTGGCGTGTTTTAAGGAATAGAATAACATAAAATATCGATTTACGTATGTTTCCCCTTTCTCTTCTTTATCTCTCTTCTCTTCTCTCTCTCTCGCTCTCTCTCTCTCTCTATCTATCTATCTATCTATTTATCTATCTGTCTATCTCTCTATCCATCTATCTATCCTTCTATCTCTCTCTCTCTTATTCTCTCTCTCTCTCATTTTCTCTCTCTCTCATTCTCTCTCTCTCTCTCTCTCTCTCTCTCTCTCTCTCTCTCTCTCTCTCTCTCTCTCTCTCTCTCTCTCTCTCTCTCTCTCTCTCTCTCTCTCTCTCTCTCTCGCTCGCTCTCTCTCTCCATCTACCTCCCTCCCTCCAAACCTAGCTAGTATATAGTGAGTTTTTTCTACCAGTACCAACACAGTAGAGTGTTTTGCCTTTCAGAAGTTTATTGTATCGCGCCCCCCCTCTCTCATTCACCTCCCTCTCACTACGTTTATCTGCAACACAAATCAGCAAGAAATAAAAGTTCTTGCATTAGGGCAGGCAGCTGACTGTACACGCAAGCTTATCCATACTGTTTATCCCTTGGGTTAACATAGAACCCACTTCAATTATGTTAAAGAAAAGATGTGAAAATAGCCAGAATAACGGTTTTCTTTGTTTTCTCTTTTTTTTTTTTTACTAAGAGGAGAAAAGGAAGGGTATTCTTGTTCTAATCCTTCATTCAAGAAAGCATAATGTAAAGCATCTTGTTTGCACTATGGCGTTACTTTAGACATTTTTATTAAGGGATTTGTAGGTTGTGTGCCAAGCGTTCCATCAGCCAGATACCAGACCGACCCACATCGTGTTTGTGGAGGAAGTTGTTTCTCATAAGTTGTTGCTTTTTCGAGCTGTTGTTGTTGCCGTTGTTGTAGCCTTAATTGCATATTGCATTAAACCGTTGTTAAGGTCTCAGCTCGCAGTACCGTGCTTTGCATAGTTTGGAAGTTTATGGTACGCTTTGTTATTGTTTGAGTCTGTGTTACAACGTAGTGTTTCTAAAATAAAATTAAAAATCCACACATATTTCCTCTGATAATGTTTCCTATATCATGATTTAAAGCGTAGGCTACATTAATTTCAAATATCATAGCACAGGCTTGTAAACAAAATTCACATTAAAATTGCATAATACATTGAAATTATGATTATTTGTCACTATTCATAGACTCAGGCAAATGCCAAAATATTTTCCAATCGCCATCACTGGTAAATCAAATTAAGAGAGAACTGAGAGGAAGAGAAAAGAGAGGAACTAAAGAGAACGTAGAGAGGAAATGAGAAAGCGAGAGAGAGAGAACGGAGAGAGGAAGCAAGAAAGCGAGAGAGATAGAGAGAGAGAGAGAGAGAGAGAGAATAGGGCGTCGCACACACGATAGGAAAGATAGGAAGAGAGAAGGCGAAAGAGAGAAGGGAATGGAGGGAGATGAAGAAAGAAGGAAAAGGGACCTGAGAGAGAGAGGGTAAGGAAGGGAGGGAGGGAGAGGGGGGATAAAGCGATACAGAGATAGACAAATAGAGATAGAATGAGATGATGGGAGAAAACAGGGAGAGAGAGATAGGAGGAAAGAGAGACAAAGAAAGAAAATGGAAGTTGTAAAGAGAGAGAAAAACAAAAGGAAATAGAGAGACAGAAAGAGAGACAGACAGACAGAAAGAGACATAGATAGATAGATAGATAGACAGAGAGAGAGAGAGAGGCAGAGAGGTAGACAGGAAGACATGCAGACAGACAGAAAGAGAGATAGAGATAGATTGATAGACAGATAGAGAGAGAGAGACAGACAGACAGAAAGAGAGAGAGACAGACAGACAGACAAAAAGAGAGAGAGAAAGAAACAGAAAGAGAGATAGAAAGAGATGGAGAGACGGAGAGAGAGACAGACAGAAACAGAGAGAAAGATAAAGAAAGAGAGAGAAAAAGAGACAGAAAGAGAGATAGAAAGAGATGGAGAGACGGAGAGAGAGAGAGAGACAGAAATAGAGAGAGAGATAAAGAAAGAGAGAGAGAAAGAAACAAACAGACAAACAAACACGAACACGAACAGACAAACAGAGAAAGAAATAAGAGGAAGACTTGAGAACAAACCGATTTAGAACAAAGAAAAAAAAAACAGAATCCCAAAATCACGTCACTTTGCTAATTCCTTCCCAAAATCCGTTCACCCCCCCCCCCCACACCCACTCACACCCCCTTTCCTCCGTTCTCCTTTATCCCTATTCTCACCCCCCCCCCTCCTTTTGTCTCTTCTCCTCATTCTTCCTTATCCCTCTTTTCGTTTCCCTTTTCCCTTGTTCTTCCTTATTCTTCTTCTCATCTACTCTTCTCCCTTTTTCCTGTTCTCTCTTATCCTTCTTTTTATCCAACCTTCCCCCTTCTCTCGTTTTCTCTTATTATTTTTTCGGTCATTTTTCCCTCCTCCTCTTCCCATTTATTCCCATTCTCGCCCCCCTTCCCCTCTTTCTTCTATTCTTTCTTAATCCTCTTCTCCCCCCCCCCTTCCTTCCTTTCCCCCTCCTCATCTCCTCACCCACCCCCCTTCTCCCCATCTCCCTACCCCCCCTTCACCCCATCCCCTCACCCCCACCCCTCTTCTTCATCCCCTCACCCCCCCTTCTCCCCATCTCCTCACCCCCTCCCCATCCCCTCACCCCCCTCCTCCCATCTCCCCCTCCCCCTCCTCACCCCCCTCCTCCCATCTCCTCACCCCCCTCCTCCCCATCTCACCCCCTCCTCCTCATCCCCTCACCCCCCTCCTCCCCATCCCCTCACCCCCACCCCTCCTCCCCATCTCACCCCCTCCTCTTCTCACCCCCCCTCCCCCTCGCCCCCCCCACCCCCCACAACCCCAACTTACCCTGCCTTTCCTTCACATTCGTAAATCTCACTCGCGCCTGTCTTGGTTGTGCGCCCTCAGTCGCTCCCCTCCTTCTCCTTCTCTTTCTCCTTCTCCTCCTCCTTCTCCGTCTTCTCCTTCTTCCCCTCCTTACACACCTGCTCTTCCTTCTCTTGCTTCTTCTTCTTCTTCCCTTCCTTACACTCCTTCTCCTCCTCCTCCTTCTCCTCCTTCTCCTTCTTCTCCTCCTCCTTCTCCTTCTTCCCTTCCTTACACTCCTTCTCCTCCTTCTCCTCCTTTCCCTTCTTCTCCTCCTTCTCCTCCCTCTCCTCCTTCCCCTCTTTTCCCTCCCTCTTTGGACTTCTCCTTCCCATTCTTTTAGGTCCCTTTTGGGCACACCTTCCTCCCCCCTCTCCCCCCTTCCCCTCCTTTCCCCCCCCTCCTCTAGCACATTCCTACCCCCCCCCTTCCCCTCTTTTTCTGGCACCTTCCTCCCCCCTCTCCCCCCTTCCCCTCCCTTCCCCTCTGGCACCCTCCTTTCCCCTCTCCCCCACCCTCTTTGGCACCCCCTACCCCCCCCTCCCCCTCTGCCTCCTGTCCCCCAGGTCACGTGATCTGACTTTCGATATGGGAGGGCTGGGGAAGTCTTGAGATGGACTGCATTTTGTTCAAGAAGTTCTGGGGATGAAAGGCTGTGTGTGTGTGTGTGTGTGTGTGTGTGTGTGTGTGTGTGTGTGTGTGTGTGTGTGTGTGTCTGTTCATGTGTGTGTGTGTCTGTTCATGTGTGTGTGTGTCTGTTCATGTGTGTGTGTGTGTTCATGTGTGTGTGTGTGTGTGTGTGTGTCTGTTCATGTGTGTGTGTGTGTTCATGTGTGTGTGTGTGTGTGTGTGTGCATGTGTGTTTGTCCATGTGTGTGTGTGTTTCTATTTCTGTATTAGGAATTTTGAGATATTTTGAGGGTAATTATTTCATCAATATATACTTCACTACTTTTTCTAAGACTAGTGCAACGCCAAGATATAAAAATGTTCACATACAAGAAAAACACACTACTACGATTAAGTAACCTACCCAATCACAGAAAAAATAAATCAATGGGTGGATAAATAATACGAAAGAAACCAACAAGGAACTAAAGAAAAAAACTCTGCCTCTCCGTCTTTCCTTCTTCCTCCTTCCTTTCCCACTCCCCTTTTTCCTCGTTCTCCCATATCTCTTCCTCTTTTATTCCTGTATCTTCTTATTTTTTCGTAATACCAATTTCCTTAACCCCAGTCCTGCAATCCTAC